GTTTTAAATATATAACGAGAAGAGTATATAATGAAAAAAATAAGGATCTTTTTAGAAAAAAGCTTCTGGAATGTGACTGGAATTTAACATTTTTAGAAAAATTTGAAGAATTACACTCTGATACTTTTAATAAAAAGAAACTAAAAATCAACTTAAATAAAATCGGTCGCTCCAAATGGTTAACGAAAGGAATTAAAGTAGCTAGCATGATGAAACGAATATTATTTTTTATAAATAAATCTGAATGTGACATTTCAATATTGGAATATCGTGCAAAGTATCTTAGGATTTACAGAAAAGTGATAAGATTCGCCAAAAAGAGAGCATTCAATACTCAAATTAGTGAAGTAAACAACATAAGCAAAGAGATTTGGAAAATAGTGAACACATCTCGGAATAAAATTAATAATAACTTTGATAGCGGTGACATAGTACTAAAATATAATCATAGATTAATTTTGGATCCCACAGATATTGTTAATATTTTTGCGGAACAGTTTGACAATAGCAAACGGGCGCAGACTTGCGATCTGGATAAAGCTGTTAAATACTTAGTCGAGAGTACAGTCAGAGTCCAATCAAATATGATTTTTGATCCCGTCCAACCATTAGAAATTTTTAACTTGGTTAAACATATGGAAAATAAGAAATCTTTTGGACGAGACGAAATTCCAGTTAGCATATTAAAAGATAATATAGACATACTAGCTGCTCCGATAGCATCGATAATAAATGAGTGTGTTAATCAAGGTGTCTTTCCAGATAAACTCAAAGTAGCCAGAGTTTTGCCATTATTTAAGAAAGGAGATAAAACAGACCCAAATAATTACAGGCCCATTTCCTTATTACCAGTGCTATCGAAAATTTTTGAAAAAGTGATGAAAACTAGACTTGTTAGGCATCTGAATTGTCAAAATATTCTAAGCAACAATCAATTCGGTTATCAAAAAAGTATAGGCACACTGGATGCAATAGACACTTTAGTTAATAGTGTTGTCAATAACCTAAACAATAAATTAAAGGTTGCGGGCTTATTTCTAGACTTAAGTTCTGCCTTCGATACTGTAGAACACAGTATTCTACTGACCAAGTTAGAGCATTATGGCATAAGAGAGAATGTCTTAAAACTTTTTAGTTCTTATTTATCGAATAGAAAACAGTATGTCGAAATTAAATCTGTTCAGGAAGGTATTGAAACCACACATACTTCGGAATTGTTCACTGTGAATAGAGGTGTTCCACAAGGTTCAGTTTTGGGTCCGATTTTCTTTATAATGTTTATTAATGACTTAAGCTCATATATCAAAAATATTTTGCCAGACGCTGGATTAGTTATGTTTGCCGACGATACCAGTTCTGTTATAGTTGCTGATAACATAGAGAACTTGGAATATACATTAAATACTTTTATTACTGCTTGTGAAATTTGGTTTTCAGTAAATAATTTGAACCTAAATATAAATAAAACTAAATGTATGCTATTTAAATCGACGGTAAAAAATAATACTTCTTTAGATGTAGTGTCGTTAGGAAGCAAAATTGATGTGGTAGACAGTCAACAATTTTTGGGGGTGCATGTGGATTCACTTTTAAATTGGAAGACAGAACTAACGTCAGTTGCGAATACAATAAGTAGCGCGTGTTACGCTATCAGGTCTCTTAGGGAAGTATTATCTATTGCTCAGCTTCGTTCTGTTTACTTTGCCCTAGTTGAATCAAAACTCAGGTATAGCATTAAATTTTGGGGAAATAGTTATAAATATAATGTTAATACTGCTTTTGTCATTCAAAAAAGAGCACTGAGAACTATGCTTCGTATTGATCAGACAGAATCATGTAGGGATCATTTTATTAAGTTAAATATTTTGACTGTACCATGTCTGTATATTTTGGTTCTTCTCACACATTTGCACAAGAATCTGCATAAATTCGAGACAGACATTGAAAGAAAAGAGAGAGTAGATACCCGTAGAAAAGATCTACCAAATATCTTGCAGGCGAAACTTAACGTAGTTAAACATTCATCATGCGTACAGTCGATCAATCTTTTTAATAAATTGCCAATAGAATTAAAGCATATTGATAATGTGAACAGTTTTAAAAATAAGTTAAAATCTTTTTTAAATGCAAAAGGTTATTATAGTATTGAGGAATTTACGAGTGACAAAAGGAAGTAAATTTAGATAATTACTGTTGACATTAAATAATTTATAATGTAATTGACAAGTACTGTACACAATTGACATGTAATAATTTTTTTGACATTTGTTTTTATAATTTGTATAATTAATTTAATATTAATATGTTTGTACAGGTAATTAATTGAATAATGACATGTATAAATTCAATAATTGTAATAATTTTTCAACACAAATGTATTTTTGTTTATGAAATAAATAAATAAATAAATAAATAAATAGCACAACTCAATGCGTACGGAATCAATAGCTACTACTTATAATAATAAATATCAAGACCACTAAATAAACTAACTTATAATATTTATAATTAAGTTTATTTATCAGGTATCAATGTGGTATTGTCTAATGTAGGTAGCTACATTGGCTGGTTAAACCGTATAAGTTTCGTTTCAAAATTCTTTATCTACATCACAATAAATATACACAAAAAAGTTTAGAAATCACACAGCACAACTCTTTGGCAATACCTCTACGACTTGCACAAAATTCTTAAATTAAATGGCAACATTTTCGTTATTTCACGGAAGTTTCTTAAGAAAAAAAAACGTAATAATAAATATAACAATGGCCATCGAGAGTTACAAACATTACGGAGGGAATATTTTGGGACAATAGCTTTAGAAACAATAAGCAAGACGAATATTCGCTGTCTGGTGATTATACGTGGTGATAGAAATCTTTATAAGTTCTGTAAATAATATGTAGGTAGTTAGTTATTACTAAAAATATTCTTTACCAACAGGATCGAATAAAAAAGATAATATTATAATATAATGGAGTTGTAATGCGATTGGTGTAGTGACTGAACAACAGACAATGACAAGACAAGTAGCAGGTTAATTTGCCGCTCAGAAAAACTTGTTAGGGTGTGATTTGTATATGAAGTTGTAATTTGGATGAGGTAATGTTGGGGCACGAGCCAATATTTGGCACGAGATAGGGTGAAAAGTTTAGTTCCACGTTTAAAAAAATATATCAAACAAAGATCCACTTTACTAGAGTATAACTACAATTGGGTAGTACCCTAGGTCAAAAATAAATTAAATCGACGTTTCGTTACACTCATTTATCGATAGATTATTCATCGATCGATCGATACACTAAATTTTTGATATAAGTATTTTAGCTAATTTTTAAGAAATAAGTAGGTAGGCTATTTGACGCTAAAATACTATGACGTCATAACTCAGTGTTGTATACAGATTTCATAGAAAAGAACCTATAGTTTTTTGACATTTGGTTGGATAAAAGTTTGAATTTGACGATGTAGGTACTTAGTTGGAAACTACAGTACTGAACTCAATCAGTAAAATTAAATAAAAAAAATAATTCAGGCACCACTGATTCATACCTACAATAAAAATACAGAGACCAAAAATGTCTAGATGACACAAGATTACCAACAAGAACGGAAGAAAGGCTAAGTTTGTTTACAAGACGCTATCTCTTTGATAAAACTGTTAAACATTCGAATACCAGAGATAAGAGGTTCTAAGTAAAAGTACCTATATTGTTAACCCATGGATTCACTCGTCGAGGTCACTCAACTTCTTCAACAATTTTAAACGGCTTAACCCAATTTCTTTCTTTAATAACGTCATACTCTAGTTATTCTGTCGCCGGCAGCGCTGATGTCGCTTTTGATAAAAAAATAGGATGCATATTATATACTTAGTATACATGTATATGCACCTAGGTATATTGAAGAATCTAGTTTAAGTAAATAGATGGTGTTCTATAATCATTGTCACGGTTTGTGCCGTTTCAGTACTAGTTAATAGATTTTTTTAAGTGTTTGAGAGCCAAGGTTCGGCACGAATGGGTCGGCTCGAATGGGTCGGCTCGACCGAAGTGATACCACGCCCTCACAGAAAACCGGGGTGAAACAACCCATAGTGTTGTGTTTCGCCGAGTGAGTGAGGTTTCCCTTCCCGATCCTTATATCCAAAAGCCCCAATCCCCAAAAGGCCGGCAACGCACTCGTAACTTCTTTGGTGTTGTTGGTGTCCATGGGCGGCGCCGATTGCTTACCATCAGGTAATCCGTCTGTTCGTTTGTCGACTACCGTGTACCATTTTCTTTTCTTTCTTTTTTTCTTCTACCCATTGTTGGAGGTGCAAGGGCAATAATGTACTGCGTCCTCGACTCGGCAGGAGAAGCAACGGGGTAGTTTAGTTTAGTCAGTAAGAGTCTAACTCTCTCTCTTACCCCGCCCATAGCGAGAGGGGTCAATTGATGATTTCCTTCCCTCAAAAAAGACCACAAGTGGAATACTTATTTTGGCCTTTACAGAACAGGGCTCAATTACTTAATTGTCGTCCCAAGATTAATATTTGAGTGCTCATACATTTTCCAATATATCACATTTGCATATTAAGTTACAGGTAGGCTCGGATAGGATCTTTCCCCTCAAACCTCGTACCTTATATGGATAGGTAGCTTAACCGCATTTTCTAACTTACCCACCATTTTTTCTTAATTCGACTTGCATAACATTAAACTTCCGCTTTGTGGTAATCCACCACAATTAAATACGTCTGCGTAGTTTTTTCTCATTTTTGTCCTTTGTAATAAGCTCATCACGGAGACATTGCGGACGTCTTCATTTTCGCTCTAATAAATCGTCCTCTCGCCGATTATCTGGCACCCGGTGACTAGGTACTTGCCATCTATCTAGGCACCTGTCGCGAAATCGTCTAGAAGCAAGTATACAATCGACTCAAGCGGGGATTATGTTCCAAAGACTGCACTTCTTATTGTCTTACCTTCCAAGCTTTATTTTACGTTTCGGTTTCGCGGCGAGAGGAAGACGTTCGCGGCATTTTTGACAGTTGCATATTTTTTTTCGCGACAAAGCGGATTGTATACAGCCTAGTTGAAAGTTGTGTTCGTTATTCATTGTGAGAAATGGTGAAATTCTGGTGGATGTTTATGTTATTTGCTAAAATTGCATCGGCTAGTGATAACGAACTTCCATCTCCGGAGGTGCAAAAAGGTAACTTAATATAACGAATAAGTACTTACAAAATTTGATTTTGGGTCAATCGACAATAGCTTAAAATTGAGATACGTAGTAAAGTTTTGAAATTTCTTATTAAAAAAACAAGGTGATTATTCTTTTATTAAAAGATAGTTTTAGTACTAGGTAGCAACCAAAGTGTATTTGTTCGAGAGCGTTACGTTTAAAAGCACCTATGAGCTTACCTACACATTTGCACATAATGTAGGTACCTACCTACCTGTATGCAACGATAAGGTGATATATATATTTTGTTATTTGTTCCCTACCAGGAACATATTGATATGACCTAAAAACATGATTTATCAAGTTTTACGATATCTGTTCTAATAAAAATACCGATACCGATCGATTTTTTATATCTATCATACTTATGTATGATTAAAACCTGTAGATCCGATATCTATTAGTTAGTTTCCTTTTTGTTATTTATAAATTGTACTTAGGTACCTTTACTAAAAGTTCGGTAGTAAATTACTTAGGTACTATCTGCTGTAGTGATTTAGTCCTCATATCATGTCTCATGGCTGTGTCTATTTATACATAAAACCATTTTGAAATCAAACGATGCAAAAGTTGCTAAAATACGTAGGTACCTATTTGATTCATAACAAGCCATCTTCAAGAATTTTCTCGAACACAAAGGAAAATTTCAAAACAAAGATGTGACACACAAAATTTTAAAGTAGATCAAGTGAAAATCGAAACGTGAGTGCGTCACTATCATCAGGCCGAGTCTTCGAGATTATACGGTTTACTTTTAAAAGGGAAAAAGCGCATCGTAATCACAATAATATACCCACGATTCACACGCTTTCGCGGTACGTGAGCATCCACGGCAGATTTAAAAAGTACCAAGCCTGTCCACTATTATGTAGCTAGACTTTAAAATTAGCACATAGTATTTTCATCCGCTTGTTCTATTCAGGCCTAAACGTACTTGACATTTAAAGGTACTGCGAAATTAGGTGGCTTTATTGGATAGGTACCTACACAGATACTATACTTACCAAATGCATTCATGGCGTTCAACGATTGAGTACCTACCTACATATAAAACCCTATCATCACCAAAATGGAACATAATAATAGTAAATCTCATTAACACAAAACTTTTGACGTCACCACATGGCATAGCTCACGATTTCCACGCTTCTGAACATGGAACAATGGAAGAGAAAACTGTAGGATCAACATAGAATATAATTACACGTTAACTTTCAATTTTATGTTTGCCTGCTCGTAATTTTCCTTTTTTTAATTGTTCCATACCGGAATGAGAGGTGTCGTTTTCGAAAACAATAACTCATTACTTAGGTACTTACACTCTTGTCTGGGTGTCCACAACTTGCGTAACTTTTTTAATTACCTAATCCAAAAAAAAAAAGAAAGCAATGGCTAGACTACCAGATTCTCTGCCAAGTATCGCAGATTACATTCCCGTACAGATTTACTATCCACATGCATGATCTATAAATTTTGAGCACGAGTATCATATTAAAGACGTTTCGAATTGGATGTAGGTATTCATACATAGGGAAGAAGAAGTGGAGTACCTCTCCACTTCTTACCTAACTTAGGCACGCCACGCCACAAAATTACTGACTTGCTTCATAATTATCGTCTGGTATCTATCACCATCGTAGGTATGGGAATCTAGGTTTACATAAATTATTAATTAATATCTATAATTCACCAAATTCCTAAATATCTTACATATAACTCATAAAACACTATTCCTTACAGAGTCACGTTTCCTTCCTCTGTTCGAAGTGAAGCGATATGACAACCGACCACTTGGTGTTGGGCCTGGGGGTCTGCCGCCGTTGACCACAGTGCCCATCGCTGGGGAGCGCTGTTCTTCACGTCTAGAATCAGCATTAGACCAGATGAAGCGGCGGAAAAGGACGCAGCCGAAAAATCTGGATACTCCTCTGGTAAGCAAAAAGATGACAATATGTTGAACCTAATCGTGTCCTACTGTAGGTAAGCGAGCAAGCGGCCTGCCAGGCAAAGGTTTAAGACTTGGTGTCCCTATACAGAAAAATGGGGCCTCTTTTTCTAAATCCGTTAAGAAGGTAATATAAATGTTATGTTGTGGGCGAGTACCTACGTACCTATAAGTAGGTCATTGGATGAACACTGGTTCCACTTTTGATCAAACAAAAATATTAAAGTACTAGTAAGTCTGTATAGACCCATACAGAAACAAACAGTTAATTAAGAATAATTTATCAACGTTTGCTAGTGACTACAATTCTTGTTACAGAGTCAAAGCATCGATCTCAATGGCTACAGTTTGTACCAGCAAATGCGATCAGCTCCCGTCGACATGTATGTTACAAGGATGCGAGTGCGACTGCCACAAAACAGCAACTGGGTTAGAGTGGAGAAATGTTACTTCGACCCAAGAAATGTCTCTCTTGACACCATGCTTCTATTCCACGATATAACCATCAGTGGCAACGTCGATCTATACGATGCAAATGACCTAGATAGAGGGCTTCCACCCAGCCGAAGATTGAGAAGACATTTCGCCGAATCCAGGTCAATAGATGGTCCGTTTGTTGATAACTATGCTAGAAGTCGAGGCAACAATGGCTGTAACATGATCCTACGGTTAAGAAAGGCAGGAATTGGTTTCCACACGAGACCTTTGAACCAACAACCAGGCAAATTCAACGTGAAAACTGATTCAGAATTTGTTGAACCTGGCTTCATCAGTGTCTACGCGTACGGTTGCGAGAAGTACATTAACAGGAACTCCGTTCGGAATAAGGACAATTTACCTTTGAAGCGACGGAAGCGATCGGATGAGTTCTCTTTTGATCCACGACTGAGGCAAATATACAATGAGGGAGTGGATAGTAGGGCAGCTGATAATAATTGGGACATTGTTTACGAACCGCGAAGTAGAGTCAATTACGAACGAAGTAAACTGTTTAGGCCCGACGACGAATTGGATGAAGCTGAAGACATTTCGAGGGAAATGGAGGACATATTTACGAAAGGTATACGAACTCTTTTGACCACATATATGAAGAAAGAACTGCAGCCAGCCATCAAGGATACTTTGATGCGGAATATGGGCTATGTTATATCGTATGGCTGAACAGCATCTATAATATATTTATTATAAGAAACAGTGAATATGTATTGGGAAAGATGAAATTTAAAAGAATCGAAATAATATGGTAGGGCTCAAATTTTCAAATGTTTATGATTTTTTAGTCATTTATGTAACTTTAGTAAAATTTTATATCTCATCAAAATATTTTTTCTTTAAAACTAGGAAACCCCTTGCTATGAAATTAGGTCTAATTTTAAATGTGATGAAGAAGAAAAGAAATAAAATTCATCTGTGAAAGAAAACACAACAAATGTTGTAATTTTTTATTCATGTTTTATAAGCCAACAAATATAACATTTCAGTCTAAAATCTATCAAATATGTAGGTATCACAGAAATGATTTGGGACATTGGTATGTCTTCATTGTCTACTAATGCATACAGGACATTTTTTTTTTTTTTGTAGTTTATGGCCTGGATACGAGTCCTTTAAGCCAAGCATACAGGACATAAATATTCAAGCCACAGATTATAGATTTATATACAAAAGTAATAAGTAACCATAAATATCATAGAATCATTTTTAATAACATTTTTGAAATGTGTTATGAAAGACTTTTTAGAAATTTTAAATCAGTGTAGGATTCCTCTTTATTTACAAAAACTCAATAACATATTTCTTAACAAATCTTACTGCTTTAAAAAATAACGAAAATGCATGATTTTATTTATATTAAATAAATTAAAAAGCAACATCAACACATTAGGTCAATAAATAAAATATTTTTATACTTAAAACAACTAATAAAACATAAATAACTCTTATTATTCATAATTATTACTGATTTTTTAAATAAATAAATAGAAAATGATCAATACTGGTGATGAAAATAAATACTAATGGATTTTTTAATGTGATGGCAGTTTTGGTTTATCTATCTTAAAATAGGTGATGACTATTCCTGTGTTCAGTCCCATGTTTTTTAATCTTAAAATTAATGCTTTATTCTTATTACCAAGTTGTGATAGGTATATGTAAGGCTTACTCCCCTGAGATGATGCAATATAATAAATTAATGTACAATGAGAGTTAATTTGGCAGGTTACCAAATACTGAATAAATAACAAATATGTGCTAGGAAATTAATGTAATGACTTGCCCATGCATATACCAACCTTCTTGAGTTTAGATCTATTTAAAAATAACTACATCCATCAACTCTTTAATTTCAAAAACATGTGTTTGATTTCATCATACACAGCAAAATGCATTGCTGAAACTAAAACTGCCTTCAACATACTGGGGCCATAGCCTTTATAAAGTGCTAGGAACCCTTCAACTGTGATGGTTAACTTTACACAATCCAGCAGACCAGTGCAGTACATCTGCTTGCCAAAAGACTGTCTGTGCTGCTGAAAACCCTGAATCTGCAATCTTTTTTTTACTAAATCAAATGGATAGATTGCTGTTTTGGACACAAATCCAGCTATAGAGCCAGCTATGATGTTTGCCACCAAGGAGGATTCAACCACAGAATGAACAGTTGCTTGTCTTTGGAAAAAAGGTATTTTTTTAAATACACTATCTGTAAGAAACCTGTACACTGCAAACTGTATGCCAGCATGTGGTGCTATCTGGCCAAGAGTAGGTGTTAAACCTTTGTACAAGGCTCCTACTCCTTCAGTCCTTACCATAGAGGTGATTGCATGGGTGAACCCTTTGTAGGCTTTTTTTGTCTTCTGCTCAGCAATTAGCCTGGTTCTGACTGTATCAAATGGAAATGATGCAACAGTACCGACGGCTGCAGCTACCCCACCATTGGAAAAGTTTATCCAGTGTTTGTGTGCATTATAAAACTGTAGATCAGAACTCTGGCATACTTGCGTAAGCTGTTCAAACACTGAGAATTGTAAGATTCCGTATGATATTGAAAGAAATTGCGCTGGTACGTGACCACTCCACAATGTTAATATACCTTCTTCCTTAACAATAGAAGACACTGCTTGTAGTATAGAGCTGTATTTGGAACCGTTTCGTATAGGCTCAAGTTGGAGTTGAAATCGTATTTTTAGAACGTCCAGGGGTTGTGCCACAGCTCTCGTAATGGCTCCCGCCATACCACCCGCAACCGCAGATTCATATAAGGTAGTTTTCTTATTAGTACTTTGCACCGACTGAACCATTACAAATATATTTTATTTAAACCGAAACTCGGTTTGTATTTAGTGCAATAACCTCTCCAAAGCTCTCAATGTCAAATCAAACACAGTATTGACAGAAGACTTAAATTGTTGCGTTCAGAATCATATAGAATGACTGACTCTTGCTTCATTATAATGTATTTTATGTAATTCCTAATATTGTTGAAGCAACACTATGAATTTTACATAGAGACAGATGAATTATTTTAATTATGACTATTTTCTTAGTCTAAATCTCGATAGATCTATTACATAATGGCACCAATTCAACAAAAAATAACGTATTTTTTATGGCTTATTTATTTATCTATGATTAGGTTTCTGTCTCTGGTTCTGATAATGTTAACGTCAAACGTCAAATTGACACAACTGTTTTGAGCTGTTCGTTGTCCATTTTGTATATTTGTGTTTTCTAAAGTGATATATTCGAAAATGTCGTCACCTTTGGAAAACTTAGAAACCCAACTTGAAATGTTCATAGAAAACGTGAGGCAAATTCGTATCATCGTGAGTGATTTCCAGCCACAAGGACAAAGTGTTCTGAATCAGAAGATGTAAGTTCCTTTACTAGTGGTTAGAACTTTCCTTTTTGCGTAATATAAAAGGAGTTAGGTTTAATACTATTTGATATATTTCAGACAATCTCTCGTTACTGGTCTGCAGGAGGTCGACAAGTTGAAGTCTCAGGTCCACGATATTCATGTTCCTACAGAAGTTTTTGAGTAAGCATTTGGAACATTTTATTTATGATTTTAATAATTAATTATCATTTAGCATTGCTCCTTATTGAATTTATCAATTGTTACTGATTGTATACATACACAGTTAATAAAAAGTACCTAAGTTCTAAAACCTTAAAATAATACCACATGTTCATTATACTTAGGTCCTATTACATTGAAATGTAATGCATTTTCTATTTTCTCTGTTTGTGGCTAATGTTTTCTCTGTTTGGGGCTAATGGCTTATGTTTAACTTATGGATTTTATCTATGGGCAAGGAAAGTTAAATGTCATTGTAGACATTAATGTTGAACTACAAATCTGTAGCTAACTGCTTTTGTGGTTGATAAGTGATAAAACTCGTAAACATAAATTTATATACTTACAAAAACAATAAAAGTATTCTTCTCTTCTCTTCTTCTCAACAATTAATACAATAAAACTTATGTTGCAAAAGTGGTCTATACATACCTGCTAATACATATATACATACATACATACATGCATGCTAAAAATTGGTAGGCTGTATGCCTAGTCTACCTTTGCCTACTTCTTTTATTGATGATCTCTAAAAAAGTTGAAAATGTTCCATAGCATAACATTTAAAATTTTATTTTCAGTTACATTGACCAAGGTCGCAATCCACAGCTGTACACAAAAGACTGCATAGACAAAGCTCTGGCGAAGAATGAAGAGGTCAAAGGCAAGATTGATTCATACAAGCGCTTCAAGAGTCATCTGCTGTCAGAGCTATCAAAAACCTTCCCCAATGAAATAGCTAAATATAAAGCTATTAGGGGTGGGGAATAGAGCATAAGACTAATTTAGTTTTAGTATTTAGTTGATTATATATTTATCCTGTGATGTGCCAGAATGTGGATCCATGTGAGATACTATGAATTTTGTATTGTCATATAGCTAGCAGTAAATTGATTGATCTAAACTATATTCAGTTTACATACTCATAAACAACATCATATGCACTTCTTTCTTTGTTTCATAATATACAATACATATTATGAAATAACAGGGAATGGTGGTGCAAATCATGTGTTAATTAGAGTTTTATAATGATTATGTAATTTCTTAAAGTACTTGACTGTGGAAGTATTGTTTGTGAAAACTGTTTTCTCATCTCATAATTAAAAAATATCTCTGAAAAACAAGGGACTTTTGCTGAAATTAAACCATCTTAGAAACAGCTTCATTAGTATTTATTAACTTAATTATATTAAATTATAATGAATGTGATACTTACAAAATGATTTAAAAATATTCAATAATAATTCAAAGCTGACCATAGCAAATACTGAAGTAATAAGGTGATAAGATTACATTTTTATAGTAAGTTATTGGAAATTAAGAATATTTATATGAGGAATATTGAAATAATTACACAGATACATACAAGGAAAAAATTACAGTGTGAAGAAACACTTTTCTTCTAAAAAGCAGTTTCAAAATATGAAATTAAAAAATTAAGTTGTGAAGGGTAAACATTTTAGGGCAAAAATTTAATACAATTTATTGGAGAGTAGGAAAAGGCCAGCACCTCCTTGGCTGGGTTGCCAGTTTAAAACGTTTATCATAAAAAATAGATTAATTTGATTCAATAAATAATGGTCTTGTTATAAAATAGGTTAATAAATTGATATTTATACAGGGCATGTTTTGGCATATAAAACATTTGTAAAAGATTAAGGTAAAAGTGATACAATGACTAATTTAAAACTAAATCAGGGTTGTTTTCTCGTGCAGTCTGTGGTTCTGAGTCACCTTCAGATACAATTTCAACTACTTCCATATCTGGATTTGTATTTCTAGCGTCTACGAACTCTGTGTCGCTATCGTGTGGTGAAGGCTTGTCGACCTGACTTAAATCGCTTGAAAATTTAACCCACATTTGATCAAATTCGTTTTTTACCGGTTCTACTAGCTGTGGCTTACTAGTGATGTAGACATAATTCCAATGGTCGGCTGAGAGGTCGTTTCCCCAGTCCAAAGTACCTGTCATGAGAAGTTTATCGTCTACTATGCAGAATTTGTGTTGCATCTTATATATTGGTTCCTTCAGATTACACTTTATCTCTGCACCTGAAGTTCATTAAAAATGGATTAGTACGAGCTCTAAATTGGTACCTATGTTAAAAGTTAAACAAGCGTAGGTAGTAAAAATCAACTTACCAGCTTCAATAAGTTCATTTATAAAAAAGTCTGTTGAATCATTATATCCAGTACGGTCAATTATGATACGAACTTTGATATTCTTTTTCTTTATCAATGCTACCAACCGACTTTGAATGGCGGGATTGTGTATGCTTGGCATGCAGACGTTAACACTTTTCTTAGCTGCTTCTACATAGCTGATCAATTTATCAAAGTAATTATAGGCATTTAGTTGTAGTTTGCAGAACACCATTACTTCGTTAATTTCGACAGCATTGCGGCTTTTGTAGTAGTAGGCCGCTGCAGACACAGCACAAGTTATTGCAATCGCCGCAGCCGACGACAGGATACGAGTATTTAGAAACATTTTAAGTGATTTCAAACATAAATGATATTTTACTGGCACTTTGGTAGACCAATTCAATAATTTTATATCGCTACATAAAATTATGAGGCCAAACTACGTTGTCACCATCACTTTCCAGTAAAAAGCGATATGGGGTCTACCCTCAACCTATTTGAACTATAAGCTACCCACAATTATATAGTTATCAAAACTGCATCCGAAAAATATAATCATTTCAGTGACTTTTTCTAAAAATGTTCAAAAAAATATTTGTTTGCCATTGCTCTATTACGCTAAAGAATCGTTGACTTAAAAGCTAAAGTACTATGAGTAAAAAAATAAAGTGGTTGAATTTCAAGTGTCACTGTCATTCAACAAAAAAATAAAAATGGCGGAAAGAAAGGCGCGAATGTTGACATTTAATTGACATAATTTTGTTTTGCGCTCGAATCATACTTTATTTATTTTTATGAGTGAAATTGCTTAGAACATGCTGTAAATCTTTTTGTATACAATCATGGGTATTACGGGTTTATTACCGTTTATAGATAAAGCCTCGAGGCGGACTAATATTAGTGAATTTAGTGGCTGTACAGTTGCTATTGATTCTTATTGTTGGCTTCATAAAGGCACGTATGCTTGTGCCGATAAATTAATACGAGGAGAACAAACTGATATGTAAGTTCGTTTCTTTATAAATTAATTAAAATTTCCTGTTATAATCCACTTTAGGCGTGAAACGGTAACCTCTTTTTACTGATGGGTTTAAAGTTGAGTACAGGTATCAAAATGTTTATTAGTGTTGAATAACTCAATTTAATGAATAGAATTTCATTTAAGTTTGCACCCTAATAAAATAAAGATTTAAAAAAAAAAATTAAGTTTGCACCCATCACAATAAAATATCATTTTTAAAAGTAAAAACCTTAATACCCGCTTAAGCTTATAGTTATGTTGTTATGTATATTGATTTTTCCAGGCATATAAGATACTGTATGAAATATGTGACGATGTTGCTATCAAATAATATCAAGCCAATACTAGTATTCGATGGGAGACATCTGCCTGCTAAAGCTATGACTGAATCTAAGAGGAGAGAGTAAGTAATACATATTAAAGTCAACACTTTTATTTATTTTATTAAAACATTGGTAGGAACATTAAATATTTTCATAATTTAGAAGAGGTTCAAAGTATTTTAAATTAAAATAGAAGTGATATATGTGGTATTAAAAATGTTTACTATCTTATCATCAGCTGATCCATACCCTATTGTCTCCTATTCCATTAAAAAAATCAAACCACTTAAATTACAAAAAAATACTTATTCCAACATCTTTATTAAAATTTTTGTTATACATTACAGATCCCGTGACATATCAAAGAAAAGAGCAGCGGAGCTTTTAAGTCTTGGGCAGGTTAGTTTTGTTAATCAAAAGATAGCTTTCTGTTATAAACTATTTATTTTTATATAGGCTTCACAAGGATGTAATATTTAATTCTTTACAATAATCAAGCAAATCTGTTTATGTTACAAAATTTATTGAAAGGATCAACAAGTTATATTGAATAGGAATGGTTGTAAGTGGAAGTTGGCCAAAGATGACCAAATAGGTGTAAATATTTTGTAAATGGATTACATAATTTTTAGTTCTTATTATAACTCATCCGTCTTCAATTTGGTGCAATCAGATGTAGCAATAATTGACCATTCTTGCAGCATTTAATTAGTGTTGCTGGCCAACTTACTCCAATTATTTCTTCCATTCAACAAGAAAGATATGTTAACCTAGACCATATAAGTACTGTTTCTAATAGCATTAATCAAAGCAGTATGCATTAAATGATTTGGGAGTTAAAACCTATTTCTTATTCCCTAAAAAATGCTTTGAAACTTTTGCAAAAAAGAAAAAAATGAAATATTCAAACAATAATCATGTATTCCAGACAGAAGAAGCCCGTAAATATATGAGACGTGGAGTGGACATCACTCATTCTATGGCACTCAGTCTCATCAAGGAGTGCAGGAAACGCAATGTGGACTGCATAGTGGCACCATATGAGGCTGACGCACAACTAGCATACTTGAATATTAAGAATATTGCCCACATAGTTATTACTGAGGACTCTGATCTCATTTTATTTGGTTGTACTAAGGTAAGTAAAAGCAACAAGAAAATATAAATTGTATTTGTGCATGTATTACGTTAAATGCTTAAAATTAAATGCCTTAAAATTTTAAGTGTGTCCTATATGTTTTATTAAAAATGTGCATTGTAAAGTGTTTGTCATTAATAAAAAAGTTTTTTGAATTGAAACCCAACATTAATTCTGAAATTTAGTTTTTGAAAATATATGAGCAAGAACTAGGCCTGACCTGCCAGCTTGCTTTGTATTTCTCAGGTTACAGGTGGCCTAATCTGTCCATACTGATTTGTCGCTAACTTCTACCTGTGGTGTCTAACAGAAATAATGTGACACTGTTTAGTGTCCAATGCTCCTGATTATATCATACGCATCTGTTTCGCTTCTGAGTTAACAACGATTTAAATTGACACAAATCTGTGTCTATCACTACGCAAAATATAGTGATGGCATTGAAACGTGCCATATGTCAGACAATGCATAAAAATCAATATAGATAATCCACAAATAGCATAACTTTTTCGGTGTTGCACGTGGCAAGCGCCGCCGATTCTTGCTTGTTTAATCCCATCCCATTAAAAAAATCAATTTATTTTGTAAAGGAATAATTTAATATTGTTTCAGGTATTTTTCAAAATGGACCCAGAAGGCGTGGGTACATTAGTAGATACAACGAAGCTACCTCTTGTTATGAAGTGTCCGATAGAGCGTTATTCATTTGACAAATTTAGGCAGATGTGTATTATGTCTGGCTGTGATTACCTGTCGTCCCTGCCCGGCATCGGACTGGCAAAAGCGAGACAGTTTGTTATTGCTACTCAGGATTCAAATTTCGCTAATGTGAGTTTTTTTATTATATTTATACCAGCTTTATGCCTGCGGTTCTACTCGTAACCGTTATAAATTCCAGCCGGGATTACTGGGCAAGTGCAATAAGGCTCCTCGGCCTCTGCCTAGAGCAGGAAAAGGAACAGAGTGTTTTTAGTCAGTAAGTGTGGACGGCTTACGCTCGTCAAATTACGTGAGTAAGCCGAAAACATAATAAATAAATTAGTTTTGTGTTAGTCCATTTATCGAGGAAGGCTATATATATAAGCTTTAAAACATCACGCTACGATATGTAGGAGTCGAGCAGCAGGTGAAACCGCGGGACAGTAGCTAGTTATATGTTATTATTTTATTGTATTTATAATGTTTCTATTCTTCGAAACAGGCACTTAAAAAACTGCCAGGCTTCTTGAAAAAGTCTTCCTTGGTGGTGACGGATGAATACAGGGAAAGTTTTATGAAGGCGGAAGCTACGTTTAAACATCAGTATGTTTATGACCCTCTCGAACGGAAAATGGTCAGATTGACGGAGCCTGATGATGAAGGTGATTAATTATGATTTAAATTTATTTATTTTAGTTCTATTGTAAGCTGTCACTAGCATATCTATCGATATTTTTATATTTCGACGGATAAATGATTCCCGCTATTTTTTATAAGCTATCTCTCAATAAGTTTTGGATTCGATTTATATCTGACTGCAACATTTAAGAGAATTATAAATTAAAATATAACTTCTTTATTACTAGAGTTTACCATTCACTACAATATACATGTTAATAATCTTTAATCTGGTCACTGGCCTGCTTGAAACTTTTTTTAAAATAGACAGGGCTATTCTATAACCAATTTTTTTTTGTTTAGAAATCGAACAGGCATTTTGTGTAAATGCTGGTGAACTGTTGGACTCTAAAATAGCATTTGAATTGGCACTAGGAAATCTAGATCCCTTCACATTGAAGAAAATGGATGACTGGCATCCAGATCATAGTAGGAATAAGGTATGTAACAATAAAGTTTTCTAAAACCTTTTATTAGTTACCCTGGCATGATGTAAATGGCATGTAGGAACAAATCTATTATAATATCCTTGATATTGACTGATATTTGATGGCTTACACAAGCCACACTAGGGGCTCATGAGAACCGATTCTGACCTCACATCACATCATCAGCCTATACGTGCCCACTGCTGAGCAAAGGCCTCTTCTCACACTGAGAAGGTTTGAGCATTAATAACCATGGTTGCTCAAGGCGCATTGGCAATTTCAAACTTATAATTAGAAATTATAGGTCCAGGTTTCCTCACGATGATTTCCTTCGCCATATATCAGTGGTGTCTAAATAATCATAGAAAGTACATAACTCGGAAAAGTCGTATTGGTACTTACCAGGTTTCGAACCCGCACCCCCATGCATGAGAAGCGGTGCCTTAACCTGGAGGTTAGCCAACGCCATCACGATAATGAGTCTGAAGTCTCATGAGTTAGTTAAATATGTAAAATTTTGAAATTTTCAGAATGAACCAGTAAAAACAAATAACTGGAAAGAGAAGGGTGTATCCTCACATCCGAGTATTTGGAGCAAAGAGTTCCTATCATACCTTGACGAGTCTTACCCATGGCGGAAGAAGGAGAAAAAACCGGAGTCTATATTACCTGGAGTAATTACCAGACCGAGGAAGGTTGTCAATCTAGTCAGTAAATATGTTCCAGAGACGCAGGATCAAAGGTATACCTTTGATATATAACTTAATAAAATATTTTTTGTTTTTAAATAACTCCTATGATATAGTGTCTGTGTGACTAGCCACAAGGCATGACATTTTTTTATGCGCAGCTAGCATTAATAAATGTTACAGTAGCCGGCACCTAACTTGGCAAGAAGTTAGAGTAGTGGGGGCAAGTTCGCGCATCGTGCACTTAATGGAAAAAAAGTGGTCCCTTTTAGTAATTGTAATTTTTTTATGATTATTGCCGTAATATATTTTCAATATCTGTTCAAATGGAAGGAAATTAATTCGTGATATTTATTAGGTGTTATAAAAAAAATACCTTAATTAATTTAAAAGTAACGTTTAACCGTCTCTTTTTCAGTAAATGTTTGTTTGGTATGTAACAATACACATCATAGATCATTTTTCTGGCCTGTCTACGTAAAGTAACGTTTGATCTTAACAATAACAACAACTTATAACAAAAACGAAACAATAAACTTTAAACTTAACAAAAACAAAGAGATCAACTTTAGGGCAAGTGTATTCGGGAGCGAACGAGACGTGGGCACAGTGCGGGGGGCAAGGGTCTACTGACGCACCAATCACGCACTCGGCTCGGCATTGTCACACACCCCGCGCCCCGCTTGCGTACCAGAGGCATCTAAAATATGACTTCTGCGCATTTAACGACTCTTGCCAAGTTACGTGCCGGGGTCTGTATCCTTTAAAAATAAAAGTCTATGTCACACTGTGTTCTCAGGAGGTCCTATTCAATCAAGTAATGACCGCCCCCGGAGTTGTTTCACGTCAGTGATCGGTCGAAAGCCTAAAAGATAGATTTATTTAAAAGGTTTTGCACTATTGAAACAATTTTCTTTTTTTTAAGTTCATTTGATAATGTATTTCTGTGTATATTCCAGTTTATCAATAGAAACACTAAGCAACATGTATTGTACTGAGCCAGCTGCCAAGAAGCAGAAAATTGACTGTGATAATGAACTTAGCGAAACTTCTACACATAGTACGGAATATCAACACAATAGAACAATTGATGAGGATAATAGTCCAAACCAATTTAGTAAACGAAATGACAAATCTCCAATACTAGAAAATAAAGAGCGATCTTTCAAGAAACTACTCAAAAATGGTAACTGTTCCATACTAAAGAAACTCAGCAGGTTCCCCAGAACGGTCCTCGACAATAATGTAGTAGAAAGCAAATTTTTCTCTTCCAACGAAGAAGCTTCAACCAATGAAGCAAATATATCTAAAGAAAGTATAACTATAGAAGAATCTCCAGAACATTGTAGTAGAAATACATTTAAAAAATGTACAAAAATAGCCGATGAAGATTCTCAAAAGGAGAATTTTGAATGTAATTCTAGCCCTGTTAGGCCTGACAGTCCCATTTTGGAGCCTAGTCCGAAATGCAAAAGACCTATCATAATGGATAATGTTATGGATGAACCAATTGTTGATAATATGGCTAGTGAGGATTCTGTGATAGATAATACTTATCCTATGGAGACTTTGATTACACCTACTGCATCCCAAGTTAGTAAATTTTTAATAATTTATTTCTGCTCTTTTCTGCACAGAAAAGTAGTCTTGTAATTATGCCTAATTCCAAATATTTGTATTTTCTTTCTTTTTCCCTTATACATACACATTCCAGTCAAATTATATCACATACATACATTATTGCATTCTACCAAAAAATATCAGCATTTTTTTAATTTTCATAAACCCATTGATTTTGTTATTTGGTAGAATATCCGCCTTTTTTATTTTATCTTATTGATTTGTAATTTATACTCACAACATTAAACTCTTTAAGTATAAAATCATATTTGTATTGGTAATATTAGTGTTCTTAACTTAATTTTAAATGAATTTTTCGTTTTACAGTCTTCTTTCGGTGCATCGCAAAAGTCGACGTGGTTGAGTAGCCAATCACAGCCCTTGTTGGGCAGCCAATTTAATAAGCAAAGAAACTTGAATGGTTTCAAAAAGACTGCGCCCAAAGTTAATGGGGTTAAAAAAACGCCGCCTCTACCTAGCAACCAACCGACTTTGCTGAGCAAATTTGGATTTCAGAAAAAGTAAGTAGATTTTATTTATAAGTATAATTATTGTAATTTATGTATTTTATATTCAGTATTTTTCGATAAGTTAAAAAGTCTGCCTGAATTTACTTCGGCGTTTCTTCTCGATCTAATAAATGGATAACTTAAAATATTTTATTTTTGTATGAGCAACCCAATTCAAAAACTCCAATAGAATTAAATAGAATTTTTATACATAATTACATAATCGATTTGGTGTGATTAGTTATTTTATGCCCATTGTTTGTAATTTTAGTTTTTTTTATTCATTATAATAAGGCTTACAAACTAATAACATAATAGGTATAAAAATATATTATTAGGTTGCTAATGACAAGCCTCCACAGCTATATGACATTTTCGATTAACTAATGCCCAAATGTTGAAGTTTTTTTGTTTTATTTTACGTTACGCTACAATATCGCCTACGTATCTTGGCGAGTCTGAAGTTAGCCGATTAGCTGCGCAGTACACAATTTTGTTTCTAAAAGATCCATTGCGCAGACAAACGACTAACTTCAGACTCGCCAAGATACTTCGGCCGTACTGTACATGTGTGTCTAAGTACCACCAGCCGGTGCTTATTTTTATTATTAAATGTTAAATTTATTTATTTTTCTCTTTTCAGACCTGCTTTGAAAAGGTGATAACGAATTGTGATCAGTACACATTGTCCGTGTGTGTAGATGTATAAATATTGTTATTTTAAGTTTGAGCATTTGAAATGTGCATTTAATTTATTATGTTACATGACTGAATATTGTTTTATATGATCATGAGCGCAGTAATGTGGCATTATTGTTGACTGTAATTATGTTTATAATTTGTGTTATATAAGTGAAAATAATAAATAATTTTATAAGTACAATATTTTGGTAGACTTTCTTTTCTATGATTTTATTGAATCTATTGTAGTAGTAGGTAGTTAACAAAATACATATAGCCAATGAAAAATAATATCCCCCTAAGTTATACTAAAAAAAGAGGTTACATGACATTGGGCCTCTGTTACGCCTGGTGATAAGCGATGATGCGACCTACGATTGAGAACCTCTAAAGAATTCCATTCCTTAGCGGTTCTGACTATAAATCATATAACAGGTTCTAATGCAGATAATTGGATAATGGATACTTGATATCTCATTTTTTTTACAACACGACTGCCTTTCCGAGTTTAGAGAGAATTCGAGACAGAAGAATAATAGGTGCGCTTTCGCTTCAATTAATTGAAAAAGTTGGCATCTATGGGAATATCTTTAACTATAGATACTAATATTCAGGTAATCCGTCTACCCGTTTGCTTTGTTTGATAGTTTTTTTTTGGATCACACTAATCTAGGGTCCTATTCGTTCGGATTGAACTATTCTTTTTGTGGTTTTTAGCCAATTTATCGAGGAAGGCTTATAGACTATAAAACAAGCGAGTGGCTGGTGAAACCGCGCAAGAGCAGCTTGTAACTAAATAAATAATAAAATAAAAAAAAATATTTTTGACCAATTCTAATAGGTACCTATCCAATTTTATATCAATTAAAAAAATATTGATACCGATGTCAGGTGTATTACAGCCATACAGGGTAGAATTAAGGCCAATATAAATTTTATCTGTTCTAAAATTTATAAGACGTTTGACAAGGGTCATGAATGCTCGTAGATTTAAAATATTGATATAATTTTGACGCGGGTATTGGTTTACGAATAAAAATATTATGAGTACAAATTACAGATTGAAAAAGTAAACAACTAAAAGTCAGCTAAAAGTCAAGGTCTCGCGGTGTTCCCAGGTGGTTAGATACACCATTATACTTAGATACTGACAGCGAATGATCTTGCTTTCTTTGATCGTCACGCACACAGTGAGTTTTTAGTGTGAGAGAGTCCAGCTTCGGCATGAATGGATCGGTTCGACCGGAGTCACTGCAACACGCGTGAAATAACCACAGCGTTCTGTTTCGCCGTGTGAGTGAGGTTACCGGAGACCCAATCCCTCCCCTATCCTCATCCCTTCCCAACCCTTTAATATGAGGAAGCCTTATCCCTAAAAGAACTTCTTTAGTATTACGGGTGTCCATGGGCGGTGCTGATGCTTACCATCAGGTAATCCGTCCGCTCGTTTGAATTATGCCATAAAAAGTGTTATCGTGTGTATTGTTATAGTGCGGCCTAGTGTGCCTATATCTAAGTATAACAAAAGCTCGTATGTACCTAGAGACGGCCAATAGGTAGTAGGTACTTAGTCCGGCTATAGTCCAATAACCATGATTGATAACATGATACCTACTATTTATGCTTTTATTCTAGGTTTCTTTAACATAAAGCTCTGTAATGCACGATACTTTATTTTACCTTATGTACTGTTAAAATTTGCCGTTAATTATTATAAAATTTGAGTTTTAGGTAAATAAACAACCAGGTCTGCAAAATAATGTTACCTATGTTATATGGATACCCATACTTTTATACCATCATTTATTTCGTGTTTCTATGCAAATAAACGTAACGTAGTTTTAGGTAACTATAACATACCTACCTACAAAATGAAAAAGTTATTATTTTATCGATATTTTTTTCGTAAAATACGGAACAAATGTATCTATTAATAAAGTATGACGCATTGTACAATATTCCATATTTTATTTTCAAATTTCGTATGCTGTAGCTGGCCGGAATATTGGCGGCAAGCTGAAATAACATGCCGTGGTCGAGTCATGACGTCGCCTTCGTTTGGAAAAAAGTTCGGCTTTTGTTTGGCAGTATTGGAAGCAGAATCGATATTATTATGTTGGTAGGCCGGTGCAGGATGTGTTTAATTTTCAGAATATTATTTATTGAACCTATGTAAAACCTAACTTTGTCGTTACATCGTACCTAGATCCAAAGTTGAGATTCACACACATCAAAAAATGTTTCATGCGGCAATCAAATGTTGTTCCACCTGTCTATTAACACATGGAATTCCAATAAAGAAATGAATTTCAATTTAAAATCTAACACGTAGGTACTATTTTATTGAATTGATTGATTGTGAAGAATTTTATCAATTTAATTACGATATCCATTGAAAATACCCACCTAATCGTTCGAGAAAACCCTACATAATTTTTGGATAAGAACCAGGCACTAACTATAGTTTCACAGTAGGTACCTACTCGCTACCTGCCTACGTAGGCAGCTTTAAAACACGTTCGACCTACGAAATGTTTTGATAAATTAGTTCTGCGCGTGCGAAATTGCTCGTAATTTCAACATAACACCAATCTAACTGGTGAAATGATTAAGTGGCTACAATTATGGTGCCTATGTTCAAAAACTTATGACTATTTTTATAAATCGCGATCGTGTTTTTTCGCTCATACACATATTACTTATTTCTTATTGCTAACTAGACATCTATTCTTAACTGGTTTTATATTAGAAAATATATTATATTTCGTAGACTATAGCTACTCTCGCGTATGATGTTTTATAGCCTAAAGCACACAGAAACATTGTAGCTATAAATCAGTAAAAAAATTTGGATATTCAACCAGCGGTTCCAATGATTCCCCTCTACATACAAACTTACACTTAGGTACCTACCTGCTTTGTGCAGTTCAACTAAGTTGCCAACCTATCAGCGATTTGTCAGAATACCATGCATCATGAAGTAGTATTGCGGCAGTTCTTCTGATAAAGAGGCGATCAGACTGTACGATTCATCGGGACTTAAGGACTAGGGACAGTTGGGAAATCTCGATCGCCCTATTTATGGACACCAAAAGCTTAACAGCGATCATACCACCCAATCTATCGCAACTTAGGGACGTAGGGCACGATGAATCGTGTCGTCTGATCGGTGCTTAAGAGAAAGTTCTGGATACCCAACCCACAAGATGACAGACGTATGAATTTCAGGCGGCTTGCGTGCAAAGATGATTTACGTACCGGGGGCTTTGAGAAAAAGATGGAACAGGGTGGTGTTTAGACAGCAAGAAATAATTAACAATTCCTGTCGAACTCACGGCGACTTCTTTGGATAAAAATACTTTAAATGAAGTACCTATATGTGTGTTTATTCTAGGTATAAAAAGGCTTTATTATTCGGTACCTATCAGTACCTAACTTGAAAATGCTGAAATATTACCTACCTACAATTCGTGTATCGTTTTTTTCAGAAAACACGTAGATATCGTGGGCGTAATTTCTTGCCGAGACGGGCGGTAAACATACCTAAAAGTATCGGCCGTTATTTTACATTTTCATATATCTGCGAGGCTCACAATAAAAAAGTTTCGAAAACATTTCTCCCTTAGAAGGCTCTAAAAGCCATTTTTTCAGCGTTCAAACCCAGTTGTTAAAAAGTACATAATAAATCATAATCAGCCTGAAAAGTTGTTCGCGAGTGACTTATATCTCAATTTCGAGTCGATACCGGCCTAGGGCCATTAATAATTGATAAATTGGAGTGAAAAAATAAACTTGATGGGAAATGTGATATACACCCTTGGGGCTGCGTGGTACCAAATTGTTGGCTGTTCTATCGACTCGTCATGAATTATTTACTCCTCAATGTTGGCGGGAACTTTGACACATTTCTGACATTTAATTTTTTTTATAAGTATTCTTGTACTGGCCATGATGTCGTTTAGTAGAGATTAAATGGCGATAATCTTTCTAAATATTTTCTCTTTAATATTATTGACAGACTATTTATTTTAATTACTCTAACGTAAGAAGTACAGTCAGGGGTCAAAAATGCAATTGCACTCTACCAATTTTATAATGACCAAAATATCTTTGTAGAATAGAGTCAATGGTTGAGGACTGCTTTAATTTATAGCATAGAATCTAAATTATTGAATAAACTGGCTGTGAACCTTTTAACTTTTACTACAAAGAAATTTTAGTCTTCGTCTTTTTTGATCCCTGCCTGTACCTACCCTATATGAATTCAAAATAGGTTTCAAATATTTGCGTCTTTGTCGTGACGTAGTACGTATCTACCCAAGTCTCTCCTAAGTATGAAATCTCTAGAACTCTTACCCAGAATAGGCCAGTAATGCACTCGTAACTCCTCTTATGTGGTGGTGTCCATGGGCGTCGTCAATTGCTTACCGTCAGATAATCTGCCAGCTCGTTTGACGCCCTTAAAAAAAACTCAACTTTCACTTGAGGTAGAAATATATCAAAACTAGTTCACAAAGCGAATACATAGATCAGACTACCAAAAAAAAAAAAAGATTCAACAATTCAACTATTTCATGAAAACCGCTCAGTAATTTCAGATATCGCATACATCGTAGGTACTGTTCATGCATAATAAAAACAAAAGGAGAAAAACTCAAGTCGATTCCCACCTTTGCTCGGAAGTTCAAACATCATCAAATATCGGAGGGCTTACGTCGCCCTCCTCCGTGCCTCCTCAATAAAATAACGCCTGGTTCAATTTCATTTACATATGGTATTGAGGGAGGAGGAGGGGCCTAAATTAATTTTGCACATGAGATCGTCTCGCGTTACTTTTAAAGCTTATTGCCTGAGACCTTGGCCTGTACCCTAGGGGGGTGAAATCGGATAAATGAAAGATTTATTCCCATTGTGTGCTTTTACTTTTTTCTCTTTTCTCTCGGTAAGTGTAGACGTGTATTTGATAACGGGTTTAGTACCTAACCTAATTTATTATGGTGTGGAGGATAAAGTTATGTTTAAAAATTATTCTGTTTCTCTTTTTATTTCCACTCTGTAGATTCCTGTTTGGCAGGGATATGTCGTTCCAAGATTTGGGAATTACCTACTAGGTAATATTACTGAAAGCTGGCGTGAAACGTTGTTTCATGCTAGCTTTTGATGTATTTTGTCGGGTGGATGTGATAAAGTATCGGTTATAGT